ACTGTTCTTAGAATAATCTTCGTGAAAAGCAAAATTTATATTGATTCCAGTACTTCTGTTACTTACTGCTGTTGTTGTTACTTGTAATTTGTAATTATAACGGTATTAAAGATAATAAGAATGAATTTTAGTTGACATAGTCACAAGAATTATGTATGAATTGTTTTTAACAAACTTCTTTTTGACTACTTTGAAGTCTCATAACGAGAGGTAGATAAACACGTCACATGTAAAACATTACAATCAGCCCTATGCTGTAAAAACATTGAAATTAATATCAACNAGCATAGTAAACCTCCATTTTTATTGAAATGTCTGTCTAAATGTCATTTTTTCTTATAATTTCAACCTTGATATGAAGTCAATGTTCATACAGCATAGGGCTGATTGTCCTTATATGTTTCGAAAGCTCTTGGAATTTCAAAACAATGCGTTTGTTTTCATAAAATTCTCAAATGCCATAATTGCTAATATGTCAAATTAATAATTTATACAGTGAGTAACAAAATATTAGATCAAGCTCTAATATCGTATTCTACGTCACTTATTATCAAAAAAACTTTCATATAAACACTTGTCCAAAAACGCTTTGATCTAGAAAAAATGCGTACCACCTTAAATTACAAGAAAATATATACAGGATCTTATTTTCGGGGGTGTACTTAATAATATACTAAATTGAACTCATTATTATTCTAGAACAGTAAATACACAAATACTTCATGAAAATTCACACAATTGTTCCTAAACTTGTTGGAAATTTGAGATAATCTACAATTTGTTGGTATTAATTTTACAATTAATTGTAAAAATAATCATAATGTAAACTTAGAATTTTCTCACAGTTTTGACCTATTTTTAGTTTAGGAACAATTTTCACTGATTCTTCGAATTCCGCCGCCGCACACTGGGATTTTTGAAGGTTTTTTTTTCAAAATTCCAGAAGATTTCAGCCGATCTTCATACATTTTTTTATAAAATACTCGTAAAGACTTGTACTTTCATGCACAAGTGCTATAAATTTGATTTCGGTTATATCGATTGGGTTTTGAGAGGTTAGGTTGCCAAATTTAATTATTTTTTGGATTTTCAGATAATAAATCGTTCAATATTAAGGGTGAGAGAGCAGTAGGGGTCATTTTTTGAGGGGAAGATATACCTACTGAAGATCTGAGATGGTATACGTTTGATTTGGTCATATTGATTGAGTTTACATTACTTTTCTTACCTTTACATTACTTTCTCTTACCCGTAATATTCAACGTTTACTTTCTGGAATAACGGATATGACCCAAATCAAACAAACATATACCATTTCAGATCTTCAGTAGGTATATCTTCACAACACAAAATTACCCCTACTGCTCTCTCACCCTTAATATTCCCGTTTTATTATCTGAAAATACAAAAAAATTGACATTTGGCAACCTAACCTCTCAAAACTCATTGGATATTACCCAAATCAAATTTATAGTACTTGGACATGAAAGTACAAGAATTTACAACTATTTAAAAAAAAATGTATGAAGATCGGCTGAAATCTGGCCATCTTCTGGAATTTTGAAAAAAAACCTTCAAAAATCCCAGTGTGTGCCGCAGCTATCCACGAAGCTCAAAATAGCTTCAAACAGATAGAGCCAAACCTGATGTTTCGAAATTTCTAGGAAGCGAGTCCAAAATTCACAGAAACCATTATGTAATACAGTGACTCTGTAACCACCAAACACACCATCTAACGGTACGAGCTAAAACGAAAATCCGAGTCACGTCTGACAATGGATCAAAATCACTTCAGGAAATAAAGAAAACTCTTCGTTCCAAGAGCTCCCAAATTTCGAAAATACACAATGAATATCTGATAGAACGATTGATCGTGGACCCTTATTATCCGCAGCTCATTGACCAAAACCTCTTTTATATTCATTACAAATTATATCTGTTATGGGATGTGGCTGGAAAGTTCGATTTATGTAAGGTAGCTTGATCTTGTGTCACAACTCGAATTCATGGCATTCTTGGAAAAATTCGAAACGGTTTTCAATAGTCGCTTTGCCAACAGCATAGATCTTTTTGGATGTCGTCTGCTTTATTTCGCTATGTTTGAAACGATTTTCGTCTCCGTAAACAGTTTCGGCGATTAGATTCGAAACATGGGTGAAAATTTGGATATTCGGCGGACACTGTGACGTTGCCTGTGGCGACAGCTGTTAAGTATTCTACAGATGGTTTCTGGTGTTTGATTCGAGACATATATTGTTTCCAAAGTTACTAATCTATATATTACTATATTAATCATTACTAATGTCCTTCCAGTTTAATGTGACCACTCTCTTCTGTGCATAAAATATGTGATTACGTAGATCAATTTTTAGATTGTCAAACTATTCCGACAGAGTATCTTGCAGAAAATCTAAATAACTGTTGCCATCGAGAAGATTTGGTAATCTAGTAGGAACAAGCACAAAGTTACTGTTAAAACCAATTTACACATTTATACTTAATTCACGCCAACATAATACGACATAATCATGATGGTTATGGAGGTTTATTATTCCACGTTTTATAAAAAAAGATTCGTCCGTGAAAAGAATTGAAGATGAGCAGCAGTATCAAGAGGTAGAAGTTGTTGAACTAGATGAACATGAAAAGGATGATTTAACTGTTCGGAGATTACTCTGTTCACTGTATTTTTGGAAACTATAGTCTGCCTCTATCTGACACTGTATTAATTCACCATTTATAGAATTTCTTCTCTATAATGGGTGTCCCAGCTTGACTAAGACGTCCATCATTACCTTTGTTAATTTTAGGCTCGGTACTTTGAGTTTCGGTTGTCTTGATTAAGTAATCATATGATTAGATTGTACAATACTGATATACTTTATAATTAAACTGACCAGTTTCTCGAAGCCGTCTTTCAATATTTCTGAGAGTTTAATGATTTGAGATTGGATTATTCGGATATCTTTCAAGATACACCATACACCTGTACACTTCTAGAGCATTTTCTTTCACAGGACTAATAATATGTCGGTTGTCCGTCAAAACTGTATCTATTGTTCACATTAAACGAAACTGATTGAGTAATGACAATTCGTAAAAATAATGACACCTAATGGTGGCCTAATATGGTTTTTATCAAACAAAAGTGAAATAAATTTTTTTACTCTACATATATCTTTTCCAATAATTATGATATTGAGCAGTTTTTATAAGAGAATCGTTTATTACCGAAAACATTATTTCGTTTCTGTTATCAAATAAATAAATTTTGAAATTACGTAATTTCAAGTTTGAATTAAAGATGCATTAGTGCAATAACCTAATTAAAAAAATAATTAACTTAAAACTGTTGCAAACACAAAAATTTTGCAAGAGGGAAATTTTTTTAATAAACCCTTCATCTTTAAGACACAAAAATAGAAGCTATAGAGCCGCTAAAATTATGAGCAGATAGTTCAAGGAGGGGGCGTTTTCACCGTTCTGTTAATATAATTAAGTATTTCTTTTAATTTGTCTTAAATTGAAATTCATATGGAACTTTTGACCTACGAAGTTTCAATAAAATGTTACAAAGCGTTTTAAAAAATTTGTTGTTTTATAATCAATTTTAATGCCCTCTAGTGGGCAATGAAGCAATGAAGCAACTTAGGATAGAGGTAAATTAAATCTGCTTATTTTGATCTCTGGAAACTGTGGTAGCTCCATGTGTACATAATTTTGAGACACACTGTATATAGAGGGTGCCCCAATAGTAACGCAGGATTTGAATGTTGCGTCATTTTCATTCCGAAAAGTTGGCAACATTGTGTAGGGTCACATGTTGTAACAAACACGTTGCGGTTAGACAAAATGGAGCGATATGCGACGGAGATGGAGATTTTGAAAACAAGTGCGGAGAGTGCGTAGCTGAGAATGTGAGCAAATTACGTGAAATTTTTGGTATAAGGAACATGAAGGCATGAAACAACTGTGACAAGATTAGTTGCCAAATTTGACCAAACAAGTTCCGTTGCAGACAGGCAAAAAACTGGCCTACCTCGTACTGGCCGTTCAGCCGAAAATATTGCTACGGTGAGTAATAGGTATGGGGCAAATTCCCGGATTTTAACAAAAGATATTTATCCTTCAAGACAGTTTAATTGCAATGTACGACGGCGTACTGAGGTTATGGAAATTTCCACCACACTATCACTGACCGTAGTAATATTTTCGACTGAACGGCTAGTACAAGGTCGGCTTGTTTTTTTATTGTCGGCAATCGAACCTCTATGGTCAAATTTGGCAACTAATCTTTTCACAGTTGTTTAATTCGAGGCTTTCCTTCTACCGAAATTCCACGTAATTTGCGCACAGTCTCGGCTACACACTCTCCGTACTCATTCGTCGTGCAACCTATTTTGTCTAACTACAACGTGTTTACTACAACATGTGGTCCTCCACAATGCTGCCAAATCTTTGGAATGAAAATGGCGCACAATTCGAATCCTGGGTTACTTTTGGGACACCCTTTACATTTATAATAAGAATCAGATTGTGAATCGGCTTAATACATCGTAACAATAAAAAAAAATAGAAAAGAACGCATGTACTTGCGGATGAGGTGAAAGGCCAGCGAAGTCAACAATTTCGAAACACGGAGGTGGCGATAATTCTATTTAATTTTAGGAATGTGGTTATATTAAATATTTTGCTTCTGAAAACAATTTTATGTCGCTGGCAGGATGAGGCCCATGAGGCGCCGGTTGGCTATCCCTGCTATAAGTCATCTCATAAATATTTGATAACCCAAATATTTCATTATTTGCCATCATACAATACCGTCAATAACCGAACATCGTCTTTCTTCGAGAGCTCCTCTGCTCCGCTGCGACCCAATGAGAAACACCACCTGGTACGCGAAAACAAGAAGGCGGAGAACGCGGCGCGCCGGCACCCCGCCAAATAAAACCCATCGTATTATTCCCATTTTGGAAGTACCTGACAGGATTGTTTTTCAGAGCCGCGCTGCGGGCCTATGACGGGGGCGGGCGGGGAGCCTCTGCCGATGCAGTCGTCTATCTCTCCCGCAATGACGGAGTCCGACCTGCCCCAGCCTCTGGTCACGAGGAGTCCCTCCGTGTCCCTCATGAAGTGGCCCAATACGCCGTCCCCGACGAAGACCTCCACCCCCACGAGACAGGTAGTTTTTTTTTATTATTTTCTAGTGTCAGTACGCAAGCTTCAATTCATATTTTTGCTGTCCATCCGTATTATGTTCAATTTGTTTCTAAATAATTTAAATGGAATTTTTATTTTGAGATGTTCTTTTATATTTTTCAATTGGAAACTATGTAAGCTTTACTTTTTTTGCAAGTTTTCTGCTATACTGCTCAATTCTAATTTTTCATCATTCGAATGAGTATCTTTCTATTTTCATTCATTACTTGAATGGTAGTTTTAGTAAAGTGTTCTTTTAATTCTTTTAATTGAAAGCTATGCAAGCTTCATTTTAAATTTTTACCATTTATTTACTACACCATTATGTTTTTTCATTTGTTTGCCATTTTAGTACTTAAGATGTTCTTCTACATATTTTTAAGTAACTTAAAATATGCAAGTTTAATTTTTTTTCATTATTTTTTGCTATGCTTTTCATTATTTGAATCGCATTTTTAAAGAGATATTTTTTTCTATATTTGAATTTGAATTCTTTTCAAATTTTTACTTTTCGATTCATATTTAGGAGTACCTACCTACCACTTTGTTGTTTTTTCCGTTAATATTAGGCATTTTTAAAAACGCGTCCTTTTACATTTTTGAATTGGAAATGGAAAAAAAAACAAACTTCTCTTTGATTTTGCCATTTGATCCGTTTTTAGTGCACTGTTATGTGTTTTATTAATTAAATGACATTTTCGATAAAGTGTTCTAATACATTTTTACATTGGAAAGCATGTAAGCTTCTTTTTTCACATTGTTGTTGCTCAGGTCATGTTTACTGTTAAATTATGTTTTTCGTTACTTAATTGCATTTTTACTAATTGTTCATTTACATTTTTGTATGTATATCGTTTTACATTTTTATATTTTTTCTGTTAGATCAATAATAATTATGCTCACTTGTGGTTGTTTATTACTTACTTGAGTGCTGTTGTTAGTGAGGTATGGTTTTATATCTTTTAAATTAATTTAAATGTATAATATTAATTTTTCATATTTTTACTATTAGATCCATGTCTATGTTCGTTTGTGATTTTTCATAACTTACATATCATTATTATTAAGATGTTCTTTTACGTTTTTTAATTAGATCAGATATATGTTATCATACTTTTTGACATTTTTGCTATTAGATATTTTCTATCCATTTACATTTAGTCCCTACTTGAATGGCATTTTTAGCAAGGTGTTCTTTTGTATTTTTTAATGGAAATGTTTGTATTCTCACTGTTTTACAATTTTAATGTTTGCTTCAGAATTACTGCACTGTTATGCTCTGTCAGTAATTCAGTGGCATTTAGATGTTCTTTTACGTATATTTGCTTAGTAGGTATATTTTTACATTTTCCTTGCTTAGTAATGTTTCTTTCATCAGTTGAAAAGCATCTTTAGTAAGGTATATTAATACATGTTTGTGAATAAATTTACTACTTAGTTATGTTTTGTCATTTTTTGAATGGCATCTTTAGTAAGGTGTTCTTTTATATTTTTGAACTGGAATAGTAATACTGCTCAGTTACGTCTTATAGATATTTGTGGTAAGTTTGCAGTGGATTTTGCTATTAGATCCATATTTGTTGTTCAGTTATGTTTTTATATTATTTATTTTTTGTCTCTTGTTCAATGGAATGGAAAATGTACTTTATGTTTTTTCTATTAGATCCATATTGTCCATATACTGTATAGTTAGGTTTTTTATTTTTTGGGTGTTCTAATGTTCTAATACATATTTGGATACTATGTAAACTTCACACTGTTGTTCTTCGATCCGTATCTATTGCTAAGTTGGAAAGCATTTTAGTAAAGTATTATTTTACATTTTTAAATCTTGAATTTTTCATATTTTTGCACAATTTTATTGTTCAGTTTAGTTGTATTTATTTAAACATTTTTCGAATCTTTTTCAGTAAGTTCTTTGTTATATTTTTTATCTGAAAAGTAGGTATGTAAACTTTACTTTATTACATTTTGCTGTTTACTTCATAGGGTCGGAAAGTCCCCATGGTTCATCGGCCGTTACGTGAGAACGATAAAGAAAGTCATAGAAATCCTTGCGATAGAGAAAAATGGCTATAATGAAGGCGTCTAATAGTCACCGCCCATTTCGCCCTTCCACAAATAAGATCCACTTCTTATTTGTGGAAGGACGAAATGGGCGGTGACTATTATACGCCTTCATTATAGCCATCTTTCTCTATCGCACGGATTTCTATGACTTACTTTATCGCTCT